ATCTAGATAATAATCTTTTATGTCATTTAATTATGTTTACAGATTCTCGGTGTGGAAGCTTTAAATAACACAACATTAAAGTCATTAGGAATCAACAATGGCAAAGCTGTCTTTAGACTGATGCATAAAAATCCTCAAAGTACACAAACTGCTGTTTCATCGCTAGAAACTAATGAAAACGTAATTAAATGTGAAACAGCAGAGACTGATCAAAATGTGAAGAAAGATAAAAGGATTGCTGAAAATCAACATTCATTGGTAACAGATGTTAGTAAAAGATCTGCAAATATTTCAGAAACGCAGGAAGCGAAAGAACCAGAAATTTATTCTCGAAATAGAGAAATAAAAATAAAACAGCAAGTAGGGGAGGAAGAGAATCAAATGAAAGCATCTACTGGTACAGGAAATTATGATGCAAATCAATTTCCAGTACAGTTATGTAATAAACAGGCAATAGATAATTTAAATAGCATAGAATTTGTAAGATTATCCTTTATTAAAATATAAACACCTTTTTTTGTTTATGAAACATATAGTTCATTTTTGTTATAGTTAGGTGAAAGAAATGCTTTGGTATTCAACCAAGCCACGATTCAAGGAGTACCCAGAGACGAATTACCAGATGAATTTTATGACGTAACAGTTGAAGATGCAAAAGTTCTATTAAGAGATATTAAACGTTATAGAGAAGAACTAGAAGATGCTCCATTTCTCACAAATAGTCTAAGACAATTAAACGAAGAGAAGCGAAAATTAAGTCAATTAGGAAAATATCGTTACACAATAATTCGAATACAGTTTCCTGATCAATTTGTTCTTCAAGGCTTATTTAAACCAACGGAAACTGTACAAGCAATAAAAGATTTTATAAAAACTTATTTAATTGATGCAAATAGCGACTTCATAATTTGTAAGTAAAATGTTTTATAAATGTACAGGGTGTTCGGCTACTACAGAGAAAAATTTTAAGGGATTATAAAAGTCAAAATAAGGCAAAAGTCAAGTGCATCCGCATGTTCTATTTTCACTTATAAGTAATTAAAAATTACTTTTACCACCACTGGTTTTTAGATACAGCGTGCGTGTAAAATATACCTCATAGCAACTATTATTATGATGATCGTAATACTGTTAGACGCTCGTTCAATCTGAGAACCAGTGACCACAGAAATAATTTTTAATTGCTTATACGTAAAAAAATGGAGCTTCAGAAGCAATTCTTTATTTTTTATTTCTGCCCATATTAGTTTCTAGAATCACTCGTTAAAATTCTTCCCATCAGTAGTGAGAGCATACGATTTATTGTCATCGTCAACGTATTATTTTGAAAATTAATCATTAATATTGATATTTTCTCTTTTATTAAACAGTTACAACTCCACCAAAACAAAACTTAAATCCTAATGCTCATTTAATTGATGAAAACTTAGTTCCTTGCGCTGTTATTCACTATTCGGGATCATCAGCTCTCAGACCAGAAGTAAAACAAAAATTTACAACTCTTGAAAAAGTAGCATTGCAGGTGGCTAAAGTTAGGTGAGTGATAAAAATTTACTTAGCTGACTAGTTCTACTTGACATACTATTTCACACTTTAGGACTTCAAATAAAGAAAATCAAATGATAAACGAGGGTATAACAAGTGATACTACAAAAAGCGAACCAATATGTACTAATACAAAAAATGAATCGAAGAGTAAAGTTCCAAAATGGTTCAGTCCGTCGCTTAAATAATTTATTTAGTTTCTAATAATTATTTTAATTCTTTTCAAGTATAACATAACACATATACATATGCATATACTCAAACACGTGTATGTATTTGTCTATTACTTTTAATATTGTAATTAATATTTTATACAATAAAGATTGAAATATGAATAAAAAAGTTAAAATCAGTAGAAAATGTAAATGTAATATAATACCTTACACGTGTAAATAAAATATTTAAATTACTAGTTGGTTCTACTACGTTCGTACGTAGATGAACGATAAACTTTTACTTATCTACAATAAAGATACTATTCTTGAAATACTAGACGCTAATAATTCATATAAGACTGATGAGATTTTAATCTAATAATTATTGACATATCCTGATAGAAAAGTCATTAACTTTGCAAATCTGGAGGTACTGTAGTAGGTGATTGTAATTGCAAATGCATAAGTCGTCGAGCAGGTCCACCTATTATATTTCCAGTTGGTCCTGAACCACCAGCTTCTTCTGATATACTTTTTATTAAATTATCTTCTATCACATTAGCATCTTTATTCCCTTCAGAATTGTCATTCGTTTCCATTCCAGATTTTAGTTCTGAATTTAACAATCGCATATATTTGTCCATTTCATTTCTTTTATCTTCATCCTCCTCACCCAAAGATCCTTCAGAGCTACCATCAAATTCCCCTTCATTTCCTGGAACGACTAAATCTAGTATACCTCGTAATGTAGAGTCAAATATATCCGAATCAAATTCAACTCTTCCATTGTCTTCTGCATCATGCAAATCCATTTCTGCTGAGTGACCTCTAAAGAAGAAAATACATAAATTGTATTCTTTGAAGCATTGTTACTAGAATTTAAAAATATATAACGTACTCTAAGAATTGTACACCATCAACGTCACTATTTTGGTTCAAGAACATTTGTACTTTTTCCTTAAGACTTAATGATTCTGATTCGTGTTTCTTGCTTTTAACATTTCCCCACTGTTCATTTAAGAACGCTTCCAGTTGCTCCGGATTCACATTTAACCAACTATCACTATCTGCCGGGCTTAATGTAGCTTCATCTTGAACTATATACAAAACATAATATAAAGTAATAATTAAACACTAATGAGGCAAGAATAAAACGTAAAGTCAAAAAGATTACCATGCAATTCAACATCATTAGATTGTACGTTTTCCCATGCTTCTAAAACTTTTTCAGCATCGCTTTTATGAACATTGGTAACAGAATTATATAGATTAAAATGTTTTAAGTAATAATCTTTCGCTGCATTCAGGAGCTTTTCATACTCTTCACTGTCTTTCAATAAATTTCTAAAATAGCCACTAGATTCTAAACGAGTTAGATATGCATTTAGAAGATTTTCATTTACTTTCAATTTTTCTGGATCATTAGCAGATCGTTTTTCACTTTTTCTACGTTCTTCATTTGCACGAGCAACTAACATTTCTAAACCACATGCTATTTTAATACCAAGTATGTGAGCATTGTACTTTGAACAAGTTATTGGTGGTACATTCCAGCCTGTTCTGGGATCCCCTGTGTATCGACAATGATTTGCCATTGCATACAAACATTTAGTCATTTTTACATTAACCATAATACGTTGCTCAGGGGGAAAATACCTCATGGCACGACAAACCTACAATATAAGCTTTCATGAAAATAAGCTGAAATCACTTTGTATATAAATACAAATAATAACATTCCATTTTTACTTTTCTCTCAAGTGGATCCGAATGACAAATGGTTCGAATTGCTAATGCAACAAGTCTTGGTTCTTGTCGAAGTATTGAAACTGCTTTCTCTGGCAAAAAGACTCTAGCTTTGTGATGTCTCTTTTTAATTTCATTAGGATAAACATTAATTCGTTTTCTTAACACATCTTGGACATTATCAGAACATTTGTAAAGATATGGTTCCTCAGAAATATTATTCAACATTTTTAATAATGTTTTGCGTTTATCTCGAATGATATGTAATTGTCCATTGTATATAAACACATGGTTCTCGCATGTTTCCGGATTAGCCCAGGAGGGCAAGACATTTGCAGCTTCAATTAAAAGAAATTCACCATCAGAGTCCATAATTTTAGCTATTAATCCATCGAAAGTTTGTGTGAGTTTAAATATAAGAAAAACTGTGAACCACTCATCACTTATGTCTTCATCAAAACATAATTGTACGTAAATGTGAGGCAATACGTTATGTTCTACAAATAATAAAAGTTAATAATCAGTTTCTTCATATACTTTCTTTACCTATTCCATAAAATTAAAATATCTTACCATCTGTAGTTGTAGAATAATCAAGAAGTTTTTCTAATAACAGTGCTTGTTTCGTTCTAGGATAAAAAATTAAGCTATCATGGTGCCAAGTATAGTCTTCAATATAAGGTGCTATTACTTCATTATATTTTGCAATTTCTTCTAAGAGAATTTCTTCCGTTACGATTTCAGCAGATTTAGTGTAGCAAATTTTTGGATAAATAATACATTCAAGAACATCATCTTCTTTAACTTTAGATACTTTTATATGGGCCATGATTTCAATATTTCTTTAATTTCAACTATCGAAATTGCTTCTAACACGATTTGTCTTATTGCAAATAAAACGATATTATCCTCAAAATATAAGAATCAAACTTCCATAAATAGTATTAAGGAATAACGACAAACTTCTTATATAAAAATCGTTCTGACATATTAA